TAAATGTTTTTGTTTTTTTAAGTGAATAATGATAAAATATATGTTCTTTTTTTTTTAATTTTACGCTTCCTCATTCATTATTGCCTCGCGAATTTCAGTGCGTAGCGATGCCAGGGAATCGGACATTAATTCGAGGAAGGAATTGATTTCAAGAATTTTAGCTCTGTTGCGCTCCAACTCATCACTACAAAATAATACAAATAAACAGCATATTAATGACAATATAACCAACGTTGCTGCCGTTTATTATAAATATAATGCTAAATACTTATTTAGCGTGCAACTTACTTGTTCAATTCATCGATCATATTTTCTATGAAGTCTCTGCTTCTTACCATCAAACGATCTTCGCGCTCATCAATGCGCTGTATGTGTGCATCTTTCATACCGGCAATCAAATTGAGTATGGCTTCACGATCCTCCATGCAATGCAGCAGTTCTGGTGGTACATCTTCGAAATCTTGCAGTGCCAACTTGGTGTTGGTGTAATGTGTAGCCACTTCGGTCATATTCTCCGAAAAGTGTATAGCAATGTCGCGCAATTGTCCAAAATATGTTTGCACTTGCTCCACAAATTTAGCCATCATCTCTTGTATGCGACGTTGAAAATTAACGGTGGACTCCTTATGTGTGAAAAAACAGATTTCGGTTTTAGATAAAGCGAGAAAGCGGCCGTAGAAAGTTACTATTAATACGCACCTCTATGCTCTCGTGCAAGTGCAGTTCCTGACTCATGAGCTGTTGCCATACTTCATTGATGATATCATCAAACTGCATTGTAATTTTATCAAATTGTTCCATTAGTTCTAAGCTTTCGGGTGACTCTTCATCCTCACCGTGTAGTGTACGCAGCTCCAACGCTTTAAGTACAGCTGTTGCACGCTCAAAAATACGATCCTTATGACGTAGAAAGTCTTCGATTACATCCTGACCCATTTGTTGTATCTGTAGTTGACCTTCTTCCAAATTCTCTTTGAACTCATTAATTTCTAATTCACGTTCTTCGTAGCGTTGCAAACCATACTTATAAATCTCTTGCGTTACATCGTAGATGTCGTTGTCATACTCCTCGGCTAAGTCAGTGGCAGGCTGACCGATTTTGAGCAGTGCATAGCCGTCTTCATCACCTTTCCACAAGGATTCGTACAATTGGTGTTCGTTGAGATATTCTACAAAACTGGAAGCCAAACGCTTTTCATCGTATTCTTCTTTGGCCTTAGCAGCACGCGCTATTATTTCCTTCTCCTCATTGGCTTCAATTTCGCGCAGTTCTCGACTAGAAATGGAAAAAGCAATATCAAACGGGCGATTTCATTGTTGTATGTGTAGAAAATATTCTCCAAATTATAATGTGTCGACATTGGAGTTATTGACCGTATAAAAATTCGGAAATACAGATTCATTCGACTTCGAAAAATCAGCTGCTAGCAACTTTGAAGGATATTAGTCGATCTTGAAAAGATTATGACACTATCATGTACTAATGATAATAGCCTTTTTAAGCCTACTGAAATTTCTCTGTATTCAACAAGCGAAAGGTACTGATACTGAGACTAAAACAACTATAGCATTTAGCCGCCGTACACATTGAATGATCAAAATCAAATCCTCTAGTCCTTATATCCGTATGTCCTTATATAGAAAACTTGTATATTTGACGAGATATTTTCAAGAAATTTTGCCAAAGCAACTGTGAAATCTACGAATACTTTTTTTTTTCTTATCAAACTACTATACATAGCTTATAGCGGACAAACGAACTGAACGACCAAAATCAAGCTCGACTAAGGTATCTTTTGTATTTGTGAAGCGTATTCAACGTTTTTTCTTTCACCATACTCACTAATATCGTTCCCGACCTTTGTGTCGCATCTCTTCGGTTATCGTTTTATATTCGTAATATTTAACACCTGGTAGCACAGCTGCCACGTAAAGATCCATTTGAAAGTTGGCTTCTTTTGCTATGGGATTACCCTCCAGATTGAGTACGCTCAGGTCTTTCAGAAATCGAAATCTTTCAATCTTTGCAATCAAAACACATATTTAGTAAATAGTTTTACGGTAATGTACATATATCAAATGCATTCTCTCATTACCCCCACGGTTGTTTTGATTTTATTGTTGCCCAAACTCAGTATCACCAGCTTCTCCAAAGTATCTAAATTTTGTATATAGGTGATGAGATTATTGAAAAGTGAGAGCACTTCCAGATTAACGAGTTTTTCAATATTTTCAATACGTTCGATGTAGTTGAAGCTCAAATCGAGTTCTTTCAGTGCAGTCAACATATCGATGTGTTCAATAACTTCGATTTTATTACAATTCAACGAAAGCTTCGTTAAATTTGGCATGATCCACAAGTGATCTATGCGTAGAATATCTGAAAATGTAAAAAACAAAGCACATTTATACATATATATATATACATATACGACTTTTGTAAAGTAACTCGAGCTTCATTAAAGTAGCTTCCTTATGATTTTGTCAAAAAACAAGGCTACCCTACCACAACCAGATTTTTTAAAGAGACTCACACAAAAGAATTGCTGAAGGAGGCAAAAATAAAAGGGGTTTCAGTACTGGCTACAAGTATGGAATTTGTCAAACGTATGAATTTTTTTGGAGACCCAACCTCAAAAGCTTAAGTCAGGTCATCAGTCTCCGCAGAGCCAAAATTGAGACCACTTAAGAGTAAGGTGATCACTAACATAAAATAGTCAGCCTTGCGACCTTGCTCTAAAACGTCCAGTTTTTGAATATGCAGAGAATGCAAGAAGAAGAAAATTCAGCGTTTCAGAAAATTCATTTCTATTGTACCTAGTTCATTGTTAGGCGCTCTTGAGGCATTGAATGGATGAAATAACATAATTGAGCGAAGTGTTCAATAAATGAATAGGAGAGGAATGCCTCTGTTTCAACCTACGTAGCTAATATAAATCCTTCTCCAGTTAGCTTAAGCTCGACGTATTCCATTTGGAACCGACGAAGTTGCAACGAAAGTCTACATTGTTTCCCGGTTAAAAACAAAAATCTGTAATATTTGACTTTAAAATCGCGTAAATAAAATACAATAATAAATAGAGACAGAAGAATTTAACTTGCATCTTTTTTTTGGTGAACAATATTATGTTATATCGGCTTATTTTCTTAAAGAAACCCCATATAATATACGGTACTGTTTGACGAAAATTAGATCGATAAGGGCGCTAGCTTCAATTTGAACATTTCTCGTCAGAAAAAAAGAAAACTAGGACATGAGAAGGGTATAGCTCAATTTTCAACTCAGTATAGCTTTCGATATTCCTAGCATTCTCGAATATAACTTACTTTTAAACTCCAGTCTGAGCACAAAGATACGTTCATACACCACCGGCTCCATTTGATGTAGACGTGCGGCTTCTCCTTGCTTACCATCCTCTAGGTAAGCTTTGTCAATCATTTGCTTACTGATGATGCCAGGCTCGATTTCGGGATATATGATTTCATCCAAAGATTTCAGATTATCAAGTTTATTAGTTTCCGACATGCTTGTATTTTTTTCGCTTTGGTTTTAAAACTGTTATGCCGGTAACTGAAGAGTACTAATGCGAAAAAATATTAGCGGCAGTTGAAAATAATAATTCACTTTCATTTACAAGGGTTACAGTCTCACTACCTTCTCACACACGACACTAACAATACATTAACGAAATTTCGGTGAGTTTAAACGAACGTCAGACCCTTACATGATCCAAACTGCATACTAATTACTACTTACAGGTATGTGCATTACCGCAAATGCTTTATTCTATTTATTCTAACTTACAACAATTTGTATTTTGTGCATTGTTTTGGTATGACGTTGTCAAGACGACCTAGGCTTCGGCGTTGCTGGGCATATTCAACCCGATATGCCGAACAACGACGACATAGTCATCTGACAGACGTGTTTAGCCGGTCGGTACCCGAGGGTTTGCGCGTCTAACACCTTTGAGACGTCCACCAACTTTACGCATTTGCCATTCACCTTTGACGACGGTCTCGTGTATTGTCCTAGACTTCGCGTTCACTTTCGTATGCATTCGGTCGGTCACTTCGTACTTACATGGTTAGTTAAGCCGCAAGCAGTGTTGTTTTTGCGTTCGATTACTTTAGCTGTAACGCAAGGTAAGCCTGGAACAGCTGCAAAAAGTGGCTAGCACTTCGTTTTGACACGGACTAGTTCGCAGGCTGGCTGCTTGGTGACTTCCTTAAAGTTGTACGCCCGTTATATTTCTTTATTTTCGGCAATTTATTGTTGTGTGCTGCTTGGTTGGCAGGCGTTTTTGCTTTTTATTTCGTTTGTTATTTTGAAAGGGTTCGACTTCGCTAGCGTTGGTTAACGTCGGCTATTCGTGGTTAGTCTGAGAACCTTTAACGTTGGCAACGTTAAACGTTAGTTACGCCTGTATTTATTGTGTAGTCGAATTTTGTTGAAAATATTAAGTATTTTTTCATAAGACTGTATAAAAAATATTGTAAAGAAAGTGCAAAAGAGAATTCGAAATATGGAATAGTTGGAAAATACAGTTTGAAATACAAATATTTCAATATCAAAATGCATAGTGAAAACGACACAAAATCAACTGTAAATACCAGTTTATAAAAAAATATATATGTATATGAGATTCTAGTGAGCTTATATAAAAATTGCCCACTTTCGAGCCAGAAGAAGTATTGAAAGAAAGTAATGTACAAAGGTGATTAATTTATTTAGTATACATATGTATATCGAACATAAAGATGAATAATAAATGGAAAATACATATTCTCTCATAAATTTTAAATGCATGATCATCAGTGTTAATTACAATTAATCGATAAACTCAGTGCACCCATAAATCGCAATGAAAGTGTGACAATTGCAAGTGTTTATACTTACAGCGCTGCAAACCATATATAAGATGTTTGTGTGCATATATCAATGTATATTTATACAAAAATAAATAAATAAATAAATAATAATAAATTATAAAGCCCTACTTTAGTGTATACAAAATAAATAAGAAAATAGTGAAAGCTTAATTGCCAAGTAGAAGCTAATGAAGGTAAATACAAACATTTAAACGAGGCCTAATATACATAAATATCTTTATAACTACATATCGTCATTAATAATAAAAAATATACCGTATCAGCAAAAAATTTGAAATTGAGTTTTTTATTGCTTACGATTCACAATATTAAATTACTTCTGTATCATAAACTTTTAAGCTTCCGCTGTGCAATATATTCAATATATAATATAACCGTTTTATAACCAAAATATAAATTTTGTTTCAATATGAGTGGTTTCTATTATATTGTTTTTCCTTCACTTGTAAACTTATGAAAAGTGATATTACGTTATTTTGCAATTTAGGTAACGATATGTACATACATATATATTATATTATCAATATTTTTTGTATAAAGTAAAAAAACTCTAACTTCCGAAATTTTTCTATAACTTTGTGAGTACTTTTAAGGCTTAAATTTTCATTAAAATTTGTGTCTTCGAAAAAAGTTCTAACATTTCACTCTCTCCTTGATTCAATTGTTATATCTTTAGTAGAATAAGTTTTCTGCGTCCGTTTTAGCCGCGTGCGTTGATTGCTTGTGGGTTGTAAATTCAAATTTTGGTCAAGGCAAAACTAAAGACTGCCGCACATTAGACACACTTGTTATTCGAAAGAATATACATATGTATGTATGTATATGCATGGGTGGAATATTTTAAGGTGTAGTTATGTTTTCAAAATTCGAAACTTAAAGCCCTAAAATAATTTCTCTTAGGTATCAAGTGGTATACTATATGTATTTAACTCCGTATGGAAATCACATGGCGTGTAACTGAAATAAATTTAAAGTTTAATTGCGTTGTTCTCAAAATTACTTTGTTTAGTTTTTTACGGTTGAGTTGATGTGTGAATGTATTTTCCCACAAAATTATTGCCAGCACGGAGTCTAAGATTAAGTTGAACCCTAAGTTTTGTTTTTTGGAACTTTGTAAAATCTAGAAAGACGTCTTCGGCCATTCCTCCACTTTACGTTGGAGGCACTCTGGTGAAATTTCCAACTTGTTTGCGGCATTTTTCGTGATGAGCTTGCAACTACTTCCACTTTTTCTCCCAAGAATTTTTCAACTGTAAATTTTAACATATTTTGTCTCTCGCAGGTTGATATTGTTAAGGCGATTTGTGACATAAAACATTCCTTCAAATTTGGATCTTGATGGGCTACCGCCCGTACTTATAAAAAATATTCCCGCTTTTGTTTATCCACTCAAGCTTCTCTTCAATAAGTCTCTGTCATCTGGTAACTTTATTTCAGACTAGAAATTGACATTCATTAGGGGCAACAGAGGCCTTAAAGGTGGCGAAGGGATATAATCTTCAATTACATTCCTATCTCTAAACTCTCTAATTTCCAAAATTTTTGTGTGCTCTGTTAAAATTAAGTTATTTTTTGCAATTAAATCAATCATTAACAAAAATCAGCATTGGTTTGTCTCTATTCGCTCTACTGTGTCAAATTTAGCAGTTTTTAGTGATTATTGCATGTCAGCATTCTCTGCTGGATTTCAAGTGGATTGTTTATATACATATTTCTCTAAAGATTTTAAATTTTTATACTTGTTTAAATGTTTGTTGTTGGATTACATACAGAAATGAGTTTATATAATGAAAATTTTCAATGCTATATTTTCGAATTGTTATAACTTATAACTTTATGAGACATGTTGAAACCCTCAATATTCTAATTAAAAAGTCCTGCTCCATAGGTTCTCACACAGTTTTCTTGCAGTGGATCAAGTCATATTTGTACAAGAAAGGGTGCCATCTGGCGCCTTCATTGTGTCATGGAGAGTGCCACAAGAAAACGTTTTGGGTCCTCTTAGCTTTGTGCTGCTTGTCAATGTTATTTCCTGTTGTTTCTCTTGTGCTAAATTTTTGGTATATGCAGATTACTTAAAGAAAAAAATCAAAAACTCCGAAGATGTAATTAAACTTCAGGATGTATAAAAACTATTATGATTGAAACCTGAAATCACAGCTTTCCCCGATTTTGGGTAAATGTTCTCAAAACTCTTATGCGATGGGAGGTAGCATCTTATCTTCTAGTTGTTACAATATTTAAAATTACGTCCTAAAACGTGTAACCGAAATCAAAGATCATTGGGGTAATCTTTAACAATAGTTTTTATTTCAATAATCGCATGCATTATATCACTTCTAAATAGTTTTCTGTGCTTGGTTTAGTTAGGCAAAGTGGTTCCAAATTTTACTACCCCTGTACCTTAAAATTTCTGTTTAAGTCTTTTGTTCATTCTATTTTGGAGTATGCTGTATTCATCTGGAGTCTATATTGTCTATTCTAAATAAGTAGGATTGAGTGTGTTGAAAGCTTCTTAAAGTGTTGACCCCAGCTCAAATCGCTTTAAAATCGACAATGTGTTCTTTGCCTTTCATTTGTTTTCGATGTTATTAATGGAGGTATTTGCTGTCCTTATATGTTAGGAACTATTCATAAAAAAAGGCTGCAATTATGGTACGACAACTCTTGATTTCTCCTGGTAAAAGTAAAAAAAAATCGGAAAAAATTGAATAAGTTGTAGAATACACGCCGCTAGTGGTCCTTATGGCGACTAGCAACGACACGAAATCGTATAGTACCACGTTTTATCACAGTCAGTGTTATAAGTATTATTGATATTGACCTGGACCTTTGGGAAACTCCGTATAAAAAACTATAACGTGGTCAAATAATTTGCTCTTTAATAGCTATTATTCACTTCAACGAGAGAAATGAAGTTAGAACAATAATTTCGGTGACTAATTTTTTGCATAAACTTTAAATTTCACTTACATTTAGACATAACAATCTCCTGAAATATCGGATAATCTGGACATGCATACATAATATTATATATTAGTTTGTCAAAAAAGTCTTGCGGTATATTTGCGGTATTTTTTTTGAATTTTCAATTGTTCATAAAATTTTTTTTGATGACTTATTCCGAGCTTTTGACTGATGCTACGGCTGTTATGCCGGTCGCTTTCGACCAATTCAGCGATTTTATAGCAATTTTCGACGACAGGCCTTTCGGAGCGTGGCGCATCTTCGACCACCTCTACACCAGAACGAAAACGTTGGAACCATCGTTGTGCGGCGCCAACTAGCGTAAATACCGCAAGACCCACCTTTTCAGCATGTTTTAACCCTATAATATTGATAAAGCTCTTACCCTTCGCACTATATACTTATTATGATTTATAAAATTAGCTGACCCTGGATATGAAGAATAGAGTGGGCAATACTAAAATCAATTCGACTTACATATATTTTGGTACAATTAGGCCCCCCATCTGTGCATCTTGCAGTCAATAGTCTGTTACCTTGAATATTATCCATGATCGCTCAACCAATGACATTGTTGTCATAATAACTGTTTAGTGATAAAAAAAAACTAGTAACGTAGAAATAGGTAATTAGTGTCACGCGTTGCCTGATTGCATGAAACATATACAGCGCGTGGTGTAACTTCGGTTGTACTGATACTGATTAAATTTAGCCCCTTCGGTTAAATTAATGTCAGATATATCTCATTTGAGGACGATTGCAATCTAATTTGGGTTGACGGGAAGTAAAATATAGTTATTAAACTAAATGACTCATAATATTATATAACTAAATAAAATAAAAAATTTGACTGTAATTCATTCATGATTTCGTAAAATATTGAGTGTTTATAATATAAGTGTGCTGACTAGAACAGTTGAAATCCGGGTGACTGCTTTGTCCGACCGTTCGTGCAAGCTGTAACTTGAGTGAAAATTGAGATATCTTCATTAAACTGGGTATGTGCATTTCTTCGCAAGAAAAGTACGAGTTCGTAGATGGGCATAATCAGACCACTGCCATGCCTACAAATCGCTGTTAACCGAAAAATTATAAAGTACGCAGTAGAACAGGGTATACCACGCTCACTTCCCATATAACGGTACTGTTAGAAAATACCACAAGCACGATAAATGAATTAAAAAATAAATAATTAAATACGCCATAGACATTAAATTTTATCACCGAGATGGTATGAGAAAGCTTCATGGGAGCAGGTAAGAAAATTGGAAGATGGGCGTGGCACCGTGTGCGTTTGAAACCAAATTGTTTAAGCGGCTAGGTACTCAATAAATGGACCCAGTGCTTATAGTTGACTTTTTACCGAAAATATTTGTCAATGTGTCGAATTTATAACTGTTGAAGGGTTAGAAGATCTTCGGTGTGTAAACTATTTTAAAATAAATCCAAAATATGTAGGTGCATATGCATATCATTATTATTTTTATAGTTTAGTCAAAATAGAATTATTGCCACGTTCACGAATTAAATTTTAAATTTAGAAGTAAAGACAATACTCGGTTGATTTTGACAATGTGGATAAAATCTCGTATCTAAACCTAACAAAATGAAATTAAAATTTGGTATACCTCATGACATCCTTAAGTTACACTTTCAAAGTGAGCGCGATCGGAATGGACGCGGAGCCTACTTCGAATATAATAAAATATTAAATTTCATATATTCCAATATCGAAAAACAACAATAAAGATTTAGCAATAACAAGAAAAAACCTTAACTTCGGCTGCACCGAAGATAAATACCCTTCACAGGTGCATTTCTGTTAGTAACTATGTGTTCAGTTTGTATGGCAGCTATATGCTATTGTTAACCGATCTGAACCATTTCTTCGGAGATTACATTGTTGCTTTAGAAAATAATCTGTGCCAACTTTTGTGAAAATACATTGTGAAATGTGAAAGTTTTCCATACAAGAACTTGACCCCGATCGTTCAGTTTGTATGTCAGCTATATGTTGTAGTGGTCCGATATCGACAGTTTCGACAAATGAGAAGCTTCCTGAAGAGAAAATGACGTCTGCAAAATTTCAAAACGATATCTTAAAAACTGAGGAGGTTCGTATATATACAGCAGACAGACATGTTTACTATTTTATAAAGTCTCCTACCCTTACTAATGGGTGTTACAAACTTCGTGACAAACTTAA